CACTGGCCAACGTTCTTGTGTAACCCAAGTGGCCATAGGTAACCTCGTTGTGGCATGCTTTCAGTACTTCGGTGCGAAGGGCTGCTGGGATGACGAGCAGATAGGCAGATCCCGTCGACGAAAAATTTCTTTTATAGAGTACTCCGCCACGTAAACAAAATGATGACAACGCTCTTGCGAAAACTCTTGGCGCCTTCCGAGAACTGCCATCCAAGTAGGTAATTAAGCCAAGCAACTCAGCGTCGTCTCGTTGTTGCTGCGCAATGGTGGTCGTGTCGAGGACACCGAGAAATGATGTTTCCTCCTCCTCAGGTAGGGTTGCCGACTCAATGGGTGAACGGGACAAACAGTCGGCGTCCATATGTCGCTTCCCTGACTTATGTACGACTGCTATGTCGAATTCCTGCAGCCCGAGACTCCAACGCGCTAATCGGCCGGTAGGGTCTTTAAGATTAGTTAACCAACACAGTGAGTGGTGGTCGCCAATTACTTTGAAGGGGGAGCCATATAAATACGGATGAAATTTCGTAACCGCCCATACCACGGCGAGACATTCCTTCTCAGTCGTGGAGTAATTAGCCTCAGCATGTGTTAACGTTCTGCTTGCGTAAGTGATTACCCTTTCTGCACCCTCTTGCTGCTGCACAAGCACAGCTCCCAGACCAACATTGCTAGCATCGGTGTGAAGCATCGTAGGGGCTCTCTCGTCGAAGTGGGCAAGGACTGGGGGTGTTTGTAGTCACTGGGGAAGATCGTTAAAAGCAGCTTCCTCTTCGTTATTCCACTCAAAGGTGACGTCTTCTCTTGTGAGGCGAGTTAGTGGTGATGCTATGCGTGCGAAGTCTGCGATAAATCGTCGATAATACGCGCACAGGCGGAGAAAGCGTCTGACAGCCTTTTTATCGGTCGGCATAGGGAACTGTTCTACGGCTGCGATTTTTTCAGGATCGGGACGAATACCAGCATGACTGACAACATGACCAAGAAATCGCAGCTCTTCGTAGCAAAAGTGGCACTTCTCAGGCTTCAACGTCAGGCCCGCGGACTGTATGGCTCGTAAGCCCACCTCAAGTCTCTCAAGGTGCTCGTCAAGCGTCGCGGAAAACACTATGACGTCGTCCAGATATACTAAGCATGTTTTCTACTTCAACCCAGAAAGCACGGTATCCATGAGTCTTTGAAAGGTAGCAGGGGCTGAGCACAAACCGAATGGCAAGACCTTAAATTCGTATAACCCATCTGGTGTCACAAAAGCGGTCTCTCGGGTCCACCTCGATTTGCCAATATCCACTCCGCAAGTCCATTGAAGAGAAGTATCGAGCATGTCGAAGTCTGTCGAGAGAGTCGTCTATACGCGGTAGTGGATATACGTCTTTCTTGGTCACCTGATTTAGCTTCCGGTAATCCACACAGAAGCGCAGGCTGCTGTCCTTTTTCTTAACGAGGACTGCAGGGGACGCCCAGGGGCTCTGTGAAGGCTGAATGACATCATCTTCAAGCATCACTCCCGAGTGAACATCCAGTCGTGTTGCCGGAGCCGTGGCCAGTGCCCGTCCCACTTTGTGAATGCCGGCGCAACGCTGCCGATTGGATCTGCCAGTCTGTCACTGCTGCTGAATGATGGTTTGACGGTGTTTTCTGCGACCATATCCATGGCGTTTTTCGCAGCCATCTCCATGGCCGTAACGGTGTTGCAGACGCGGTCCCAAGTGAGCTTGCTGTCGCTCATGGCCAGTAACCGGCAACATATCGCTTCGGAATGTAGGCTTGCTATCAGGCGGTCCCAGAGCGCTTGTTCCAAAAAAGTGCCAAAGTCACAAAATGGTGCTAATTTTTTCAGTTGTACGACAAATTCTGCGACAGTTTCTTGAGCGGCTTGCTTCTTTTGGTTGAATTGGTATTTTTCACTCACCACTGACCTGCTCGGAGAATAGTTGTTTTTCAGAGCAGACACGACTTCCGGGTACGACGACGGGCCCGGCATCTTGGGTATTAGCAGACTTCAGGGCATTACGTATGCGTCTTTTCTGATGGCGCTCAAAAACACATGTACTTTCTTGGCCTCGGCAATCTCATTAACTGTGGTGTACAACTCGAATCTTTCGACGAACACGTCGAAACTGTTGCTGCCGGGAGTGAATTCCCGTGGCTTGCTGAGAGCCATTGCCATCTTCAGTTTTTGTTCGATCTCATCCTCGTTGCCACTTTATTGCATCTACAGAGAAAGGCAAAGGCTTCACAGAACATCTTTATTAACGGCACTGCATGCTTGCAGCACGAAGCAACGGTTCCCACGGCAACAGAACAAAAGCCAGAATATATATGCTCACAGGCCACTCGCGCAAGTGTGATAACATGGTGACGTCACTAACAGTCTGTTCTTCGGCAATGTTTCTCACGCGCAAAAACACAACAAGGGGAAATGGTGCATGCGATAGCAACATGTTGTAACGAACTAAGACTTTCCGCTCTTTTTCATCTCGCCAAACAGAACGCTTCCGGGATAAGAAAAAATCACAGCATATCCATGAAGTAAATGATGATGATGGGGTGAAAGTTCTGGAGGTACATCAGTAAAACGTGAATCCTCTTGTTAAGAGGCCCTATGGTCCAACCTTACCTGAATATTTTAGTAATGTTGCCTTTGGGTGTCGCAAGAGCCAACGCCGGGCAGGTTGCATAGAGGGATTGGCAATGCAAAGGCAGCCAGAGGAAACGAATCATTTATATTTACAACGTGTGTACTGCGGGAATTGAGGCTAGCCCATCGCCTTTGTGCTGGCTCTGCCGCCTTTTCTGCCGTTCTCACGTTCCGACATGACTCCCCTCCTCCACTGTCTGCCGCGCTGGGAGAGCAAGGAGTGACGCTTAACCCCTTCTCACCCGGTAGCGGATGTCAACTCTGGCGCCACGCGCGGGGTCTCTCGGGACGTTTCGCGCGCACGCGTCGGGGAGCATGCCGGGGAGTGAGTCAGATTCTCCGGGACAGCATACCGTGAGCACGCATTCTCTTTTCTGTCCGTCGACTCCTGTTGTTTGGGGCTCGTCGGACTTTGCTGACGGCGTCTCGCACCCGAGGCGAACGCTCACCTTTTGTTGCCCCTTTGTGTACGCTTGGCCAAAGGGCGGTACGGTGTACTGGTGCATGGCCAAGCTACGTTGACCCGTGTCTCTTCTAAGCCAACGCAAGCACCTTTGCCCTCGCTCGAGCAAGCTGGCCTTGGTCCCGGTGTCTCCGTGAATCACTTTTACCACGGAGACGTGCTCGTGGCACCCTGTGTAGTGCTTTTCGCCCGTGGCGTGGATAAGCCCATTCGCTTTCCCGTCGCGCCTTTGCAACGGGCTGCAGTGCAACTTGGTGTTGCCACAGATAATAAAGTGTTGCGACCTTAAGCAGTACCGTGTTCTCGCCGCGGCGACAGTTAACGCGTGCCTTGCAGCTCGCTAAGACCGGACCTATGCTAGGGGCCGTTCTCCTTCGGGATACGTATTACTACAGTACAAAACGTGAACGAGGAAGCAGCCGAAGGCACATATACCGGCCTTTTGTAGGAAGATCATCTTGCCAGTATCAACGCCTCTTTTTATTCAATTCAATGCCAGTGCAAACGCGTGCTGTCCATCCGCCTTTCTTCAGAGTGTGGTCATGATGCAATGTCACAGGAGGGGTAGGGCTGGGTGCATCACGCGTGCTTTCGAGCGCTTTCCCACGGAAACTTAACAGACGTGTGTCTTTCTCCATTAACAGATGTGTGTCCCTCTCCATTATCATACGTCTGTCAGATTTCTTCCTTCGTGCTCCTTCTTTGTGACTGGAAGCAGTGCTGCCGTCGCCTAACAGCACATCACTGTGACGCATTCTCATTGGTTGCCCACGTAGCATTACGAACGGTGACACGCATTCTCAAAACACTGTATCGCTTACAGAGCCAGCATGACTGCGAGCGTTGTGATATGAGGAATGCAAAATGCCACCCCACGGATCTGTATACAAGTGAACAAAAATAAACACTTCATGCTATTCCCGTCGTGAGGCACTGCATGAAGGGCTCTTGTCCCCATGGCCGCAAAGCAGAGGCGAAGGCTGGGTGATGGGGGAGAGCAGGAAAGGGCCAGAGGCCAGAGAAGAGGGTGGTGAACAGCTGGATCGGGCACATCTGACTGGCATTGATGGAATGTTGGAAGCACAGCCAGTACTTACCTACGGAGCAGGAACCTGGAGGCTTACAAAGAGGGTGCAGCTTAAATGGAAGATGACGCAGCGATCGATGGAAAAGAAAATGATAGGAAGAGATCAGAGTGGGTCAGGGAACAAACTGGGGTTAAGGATATCATGGTCAAAATTAAAAAGAAGTGGACATTGGCCGGGCACGTAGCACGTAGGCCGAATAACCGCTGGTCATTATGGGTAACTGACTGGATTCCCAGAGAAGGTAAACGCACGAAGGGAAGGCAGAAAGCTAGGTGGGCCAATAAGATTAAATAGTTTGCAGATATAAAGTGGAAACGGAAAGCACAAGACCGGGTTGATTGGCGGTACATGGGAGAGAAAAGCTTGTGTGGCGGCTCGTTCGAACATAGTGTAGGTAAAAGCTGTGCTGCAAAGTTAAGGAGGAAAAAACATGTTAAAAACACGGGGCCTTTGCCTTGCAGTGGGTGTAGTCAGGCTGGTGATGATGATACACAAATAAAAAATATCTTCAGGAGCACCAAATGGTGGTAAACCATACCATATGTTGTTTCGACCAGCAGTAGCTAATTTAAAAAAATCCTTGGTCTAAGTCACTTTAAGTTCTATGTGTACAAATGTACAAGCTGTGAATGTAATACCTAACATTAATCTAAACTGTTAAACCTTCTCTGGAATATCCTTCGAGGTGACTTCTACAATACTGTGTGGTAACACGGCACTGCTTTAAGGAAAGTGCATTTGCATAAGGAATGTCTGCAGATAGAATTCTTCATCGCATAATGCAAAGAGTTCTAGCATGCACATCACAGTTGTGTAATGGTGGTGCACATAGAAGACACCAGTCATTTATTTTTAGAGGGTGGCACAGATGGTTCTGTTGGCCAGTCCTTCCACAGACTGACTAGAATAACAAAGTGTGACAAGTGAAGTAGGCCACTGCTCCAGCTGGTGGAAGGAAATGTGTTCCAAGCAAGCTCTAACATTCCCCACAGGGCAAGGCGCGTCATGGTGGCCAGCCTGGTGGACCACAAGAGGTAAGGCACAGTGTGATAGTACCACACATAGAACTGGTAATGCAGTGACCGACTGAAGACCATTCCTATAAAATTGCAGGTCAGCAACGGCAGCAGCATTTCTGGAAATGGCTGTTAAGGAAACAACAAACATGTTCACCACTTTTTGTTCACCAAGTATGCAAGGATACGATCGGGGAACATCACCAGCACTTTTCCCTTGTTCGTGGTCCATTCGGTGAGCTTGAGATACCTAGGTAATAAAGATTATACTTCCTCAATGCTACCCTAATTATGATTAGTGCAAGCACTCTTTTTATCCCTAGTTTTACACTAAAGAAATCTTTTCTTTTATCCCTAGTTTTACAGTAAAGAAATCCCATCAGGCAAACCACACTGTGTTACAGCTTCAGCTTTGAACTGTTTGATTAAAGTGGTTTGTGATGCATTTTAATAATAATAATAATAATAATAATAATATTAATAATAATAATAATAATAATAAAACACTCGAACTTAACCACTCAGAAAGATGGTGACCACTTGGCTCCAAGCCTTGTTATCAAACTAAAATGTAAACCTGGTTCTCATCCTCGCATAAACACAACAAAAAATAGAAGCTCAAGTGAAGGAAATCAAAAACTAGAAGGAAGTCTGAAGGGGTGAACTGGAACCGCGGCAAAAAGTGCCAATACACCACCCTGTTACATAGAGTGCTGTGGCATCTTTAGAATTCTTTTTAGTGCCGCGGGAGCGCTTCAACATTTTTGAGCGCCATGGGAACACTTGCACTTTGACAAACGAGGACACTCATGAATTACAGTCGAAGGTACAAAAATATGCTCTATATGATGGGCTTTTCAGTAAAATGCTAAATATTGTTTGCAAATTGCCAAATGCAAAATATATATCAAATTTTTTTCTCAATAGGTATGGAATCTGGTTAGCAGAGTACTTATATATAATTTACTAAAATTCGTTAGACTCCTGCGTGATACCTGATGACTGGCGCTCTGCGAGAATAGTTACGATTCACAAGTCTGGGTCCCCTTTAGAATTAAAAACTTACAGACTAGTTTTTTAAACATCCACAGCTTGTAAACTGCTAGAACGCAGTTTATATAAAGCAATTATGACACATCTGAAGGATAATGATTTACTTCACGCTTTAGGGCTGGTTTACCCTGTATGACACATTTAGCTAAGATGACGTGCGAAGTGTAGTGAATATGAGGGGTCAAATTGATGCAGAACTTTTCAACTTTTCCAGAGCATTTGATGTTGTTCCACATACTGATTTAGTAACCAAACTGCATTCTATGGGCATTGAATTAATTATTATTCGTTGGATAGCATGTTATTTGTTCTAGAGGAAACAGTATGTTGCGGTTAATGATTATGTTTTTCATACACTGGATGTTCACTCGGGAGTGCTGCAAGGCTCAGTACTTGGCCCTTTAATGTTCCTAGTTGATCCGACTGTTTGCCGATTGCGTGGTATATGCTAGACTGACTGACCCTTCCAATCCCGTTCGACTCAACGGTACGTTGCACTCAATTAGCATATCGTACGAAACATGGGAATTGAAGCTTAATTATACTTCATAGACGGCATGCATTATATTTAGCAACAATAAAGAACCCTTAGACTTTTCTTGCATTATTAATAATGCAGAAAAAGAATTAAAAAAAACAATCAAAAGAAGTATTTAGGTGTTACAATTACAAGCAGTTTAACTTGCAAAACACATATAGAAAATGTTTGCAGCAATGCGATAAAAAAGCTCACATTTTTTAAATGAAAATTACATCGTACCTCATCGACTGTAAAATTAACTGCATACAAAGCTCTCATCAGACCGAAATTGAAATATGCAGACTCAATCTGAAGGCCACATAAAAAATATATATTTGGGAAATTAGAGTGCAAAACCTGGCCTTGAAGTTCATATACACCACATACCCGCGTTTTTCAAGCGTCAGGTCAAACTGAAGAAACTGAAAAAACCAGCTAATCGCAGAAATGTATCTCGTATGTAGTTTTTCTATCAGCTGCACCACGGTCACTATAAAATACCGCGTGAAAACTACCTAACTGAATCCCATATGCGGTCTGGTCATACAAATCACAACAAAATAGTTGAACAGCCATTTATAAATTTTAAAATGCACCAGCATTCCCTTTTTCCACATGCAATATCACTACGGAACTAATTAGCTGAAAAAGTAGTTAACGCTAATACAACAGAATCATTTGTTTAGTTAATCACTTGTACAGTTTTTAAATAACCTTTCGTTAGACGTAAAGTTATGTTTATGCTGAACAACTATGTTGGCAGTTTATTCTTACATTCACTTTCCCTTTTTTTTCTCATAGTATGCAATTTACCTCATGTGTTGAATTGTTGTATGTGAATGTTTTATCACTGTTATAATGTTGTGTGTTTGAAAGTGTGAAGCATATTTACTAATTTTCCTTTATTGATCGTAGTTTATGTTTACTCTACCAGTAATTTAGCGACTGTTGTAAATGCTGTTCCCACTCCTGCTTGGGCTCGAGTAGGGCCTGCAATATTTGTAAATAAATAGAAATATGCAACTGTCATGCTAGAAAAATAAATTTACAGCATTTGCATCAATAAGAGTGCTTGCGATCCGCATCTTGCACTTAAACAAGAGCTCCTGAGATATTAAGCACTCACGAGTCTATGGAGCCATCCAGACAGAACAGGCGTGGCGGGCATGCGAGCATAGCTGCATACTCGAAACGTTTCCCAAATCCATACACACTAATGCAGGCAGTGCTCCTGCAGCATACCCCTCTTACCCAAGAGTGTCTTTCATTCAATATAATGGTAGTTTCTTGACGTTGCATGTAGCATAAGTGATGAAGACGTCTTGTACTTTGCAATTTCAGTGCATGCTAATGCATTCCAGACCCGGAGCCCTCAGCCTTTCACACAGCCAGGGTCATTTCGGGGTGTTAAACAACAAAGCCAAACAGCGTACACCCGCCATTATAACAATATGGCCTAATATGAACCGGGCCTGACCGAACACTCGCCCGGCCCTAAGGCAGGGCCCATGCAGTGCTCTCAAGTGAACTCGCATTTCCAGGTGGGCATATTAAGCTTCTGTCCTCCATATTGCCTCATCTCAGATGAACAACATGGTTTGAGCTCTAAGCATACGCCGCTGAAGTTTCATTGCACCAGACTGACGGGCCCATTCAGTAGAGACTTTATTTGTTTTTGTGATATGAAACGAGCATCAGTACATTCCAACAATCAGGGGCGGAAGTGGGCTCTAGTATTGTGGAGCAGCTTTAAGAAGCAGGAATAATGTGGTTTTGGAGCAGATTCGAAGCAGTAAACAGGGACTTTTGAAGCAGATTTCTCGGGCCTCACAATTACAATTTTTGCTTTCTGGTAAACACAAAAAAAATTCAGTGGATTTAACTAAGCATGCAATGATGATCAAGCGACCAGACTTACCTAAAATTCACATTTATCAAACGTTACAACATCAAAGCGCAGCAACTCATAAAAAGCATAAGCAGCCTTATTGACACCTGCTAGACCTCAGACGAAAGGAAAAATTTAATGTTGCAATGTTGCAATGTTCTAAATGTGATTGAAACACCCCATCCAACTGAACAGCAACTCAAGACTGGAGATGAGCTACTACATAATAACCCTAACACCCTAATTCCATTGGGCTCTATAAAAACAAATGTAACAAAATACTTATGTTTCGGTAATTGAAGTGCCACAGCCAACATGAGAACCACGAGGCGTGCCATCGCTAGGCAATTAAGTGAATTTTTATTGTGATAGCAATTATATGGACAGTCTCGACTGGTTTTTGCTGCTATCGTCGCTGCCACCGTCACTCACGTGTATATATATATATATAGATATATATATATATATATGGGAAAGAATGCGCTAGCCTCCTCTTTCTGTGGAATGCACATTGCCTTTTTGGCCGGGGTCGTATGCACGCGCTTATCTCGTGCGCGCAAGGGGTGAGGGCTTATGGTTGCCACGCTATTCGCCGTGAGATTGGGCTATGGGTGACAGCGCCGTTCTCGGGAAAGTGTGGATAGGCGATTGGCGGCGCGCACACAAAAATACATGTATGAGCCAATTGAGCAATACATGGGCAATACATGGTATGAGCAAATGAGCAATACATGGTATGAGCCAATTGTCAGTAGATAAAATGCCTTGACCACAGTTTACTGTTAATATCTACGCTGTTCTCTACTCAATCGGTGCCCAACGCCTATGCAATAATAACATTACCCTCAAGTAAAGCGCATTTTACCTTTCATAAAGATGCTCGCCCTGGGTGACTCTCTTCACGCTTTCGCACTAAATCACGCCTTTGCTGTGTTGTTTGTACGCGGATAGCTTGTATTCTGCCTGCTATGCACTGCTGTAGCGTGACTGAACTACTTACTTACATCTTTGTCGTCTGCATACTACAAAAAAAGATAAAGAAAGATCGAAGAAAGCCACCAATTGCACCTAATACATGTTCCCTTTTTTTCTCTCTCATGCTGTTCACCATGAAATGTGGGACAGTCGATAAGTCTAGTAAGGAAAGCTTAGTGGCTGACGACACTTTGCGCTATACTGCGTTTGCCACATGTACGCACATGTTCTTGCAGCAGTAAAAATATTATATGAGAGTTCAGCAGAAAGCTTTCATAGATGGATTACGTGCATGACGGTGCTAAAACAAAGGCTTGGTTAATGAGACAAGCATGTTTTTTTTTTTTTTCAAGCAAAACTGCCTTTGGTCGGTCTGCCTTTGGTCTTACTACTGCCTTTGGTCGGTCACTAACAATGAGACTCAAATGCTGAAAACAATGTAAAAAAGATAAAATTTTCAGTAAAATTATACGAGATTATATATAAGGCATGCCGTCTGAATTAATTTTCAACATCTGGGCTTTTTAAAGCGTTTTTAAATCTAAGCAGGCGGTTGCCCACGGTAGCTCTGCTTTAAGTACAGTCAAAGTACCGAAGTCTCACAGTTAGTGTGATAGTAATATTTCTATATAGTGGTACCACGGCCAGATAAACACAAGTGAGGCTTCTCGCATGACCAATAAATTACAGTGTCGTAGCTGTACACCTACCAACAGCCATAGATGTTGGTAGCTGTAGGAAACTCGTGCTCCCCTTGCCCCCCCCCCCCCCCAATGGGGAACACGAGTTCCCCCACTGAGAAAAGTGAGGGGGGCTGAGCCCCCCCCACTTTTGACAGTGTTCACTG